CCCCAAAACCCCAAAACCCCAAAACCCCTTGTAAAGTCCAATTGATAGAACTATAATTTTAAACTAATCTCTACAAAGATGGATGATGAAGAAGAAATGAGGATGATGAGACAGTCTCGGCAGCACAAAGTTAATCTCGGAGACTGGGGATCAAACACCTTTCAAGCAGCTCCTGCTGACTCAGAAAGCGAAGATGATATCAAGGATGAGTCTCAAGTTTTTAAAGATCAAGAATCTCTTGACTTAATCAACAATGTAGGTAAAAATCTTTCACACAAACCTATCTCTGAAGACAAAGATGATAATGAAAGTCCAAAATCTGGACATAAAAAATCTAAAAAGAAAAAGAAGAGTAAGAAGTCCAAAAAGAGTAAGAAGAAAAAGAAAAAGAGAAAGAGAGAAGAAAAATCAGAATTCAAGCGTGCAGGTGATAGTGATGACAACAGTAATCTAGATATGGAATTTACTAATGAGGTAGACAACCAAGAAAATAGCGAGATAAAACTCAAGATAACAGACACTGAACTTATCAAGATGCAACGATATGTGAATCAGAACCAAGGTAGTGCCTTCTTAGACGAGGATGATGAAAACAAGCAGGAGGAACAAATCATTAAGGAGCTTACTCTAAAGGAGAAAAAGAAGAAACTCAGGGCTAAACTTTTAGGAGATGATATGTCTGATGGCAATGCTGAGGTTGACCAGAGCAAAGTTCCAGGCCAATTTGGTAAGATCAAGCTTGGACTAAGTCAGAAACAAAAGGTTAAGTTGTTTGGTCAAGTTAAGAGGAAGAAGTTGCCTTCCAAGCCTAAAGTTCAAGAGGTTGTGACAGAAGGGACTAAGAAGGATGCTGGAAAGAGAGAAGAAGAGTTTAAAATTCCAGAGCCTGTTTTAGATGAGGAAATGAAAAAGTCTGATCAAAATGAGGATGAATTTGATGAAGTGGATCAAATTCTGTTGGATAACAAAATTCCAATCTCACACGAAAGTATCTTGGAAGGGCATTCTAAAGGGGTAGTTGCTCTTGATATAGACCCATCAGCAAATAGGATGGCAACAGGAGGACTTGATGAAGAAGTTAGACTTTGGGACTTCCAAGGAATGAATAGGTCAATGCTTAGCTTCAAGTCTTTTGTGCCATATGAAGGATACCCAGTAGCAGCACTTGCTTACTCTCCATGTGGAAATAATCTACTTTGAGTAACAGGAGCTTGGCAATGTAAGGTTTATTCAAGAGACGGAAAACTTTTGAAGGAAACATTGAGAGGGGACATGTATATTAGAGATAGAAACAACACAAGAGGCCATGTCTCATGCATGACTGACGGAACTTGGCACCCTAATAAGAAAAATAAATTTCTCACTTGAGGTATCGATGGCACAATAAGGCTTTGGGATACTGAAAGTAAGCTCCTTGGAGTCGATCAGCAGTTAATGAATGAGAAAGTGACAAAAGCACTCCATTACCAAAATTCAAGACCAACTAAGATTTTTAGCTTATAAAATACACATACGACGGAAGGGTAAAAGCTGCAGGCTGAGAAGACGGGACAGTTAAATTATGGGAAGATAATGCCCCTAACTACCGTCCTACCACTATCTTGAAAGAAGCTCATAAAGAAAATTTAGAAATCACCTCAGTTTTGTTTTACCAGGATGGGCAGAGAATTCTTACCAGAGGAATGGACGATACTATGAAGTACTGGGACTTGAGATATCCTGGAGACCCAATTAATGTTTGGGAAGACTTAGTTAATTTTAATAGCCATACTAGCATCACACTCTCTCCTGATGAAAGAATTATCATCACTGGAGACTCTGTAAAAAAGAATGAAGGAAATGGAAATCTGCATTTGTTTGATTCCGATACTTTGGAGAAGATCTGTCAGATAGGGGTATCAGAAGGAAGTGTAATAAAAACGCAATGGCATCCTAAGATTAACCAGATAGTTACAACCTCTTTAGATTGCAATGCTCGGATCTATTTCGATTCAGAAATGAGCAACAGAGGTGCTCTCAACTGAATAGTCAAAGAACCAAGAAAGAGAAAAGTAGATGATATGCAGTATGGAAACCCCATAATTGCTCCTCATGCTTTACCTCAATTTAAGCAGATTTATGTCAGTGCAAAGAAGAGGCTGCTGAAGGAAAAAGAGGAAAAGGAAGAAAGAGAAAAAGAAAAGTATGTCCCTGGCTCTTCTAGTACTTATCAACAGTACATCATGCAAATGATTAACAAGAACACTCAGAGAGACAGAGATCCAAGAGAGGCAATTTTAGAATATAAAGAATTGGCAGAGAAAGAAGCTGTTCTGGTAGGACCAGCGTATCAACTGACCCAACCAAAGCCAATTTACAATTATGAGGCAATTAAAGAAGATGAAAATGAAGAATCTTCCAATATTTGTCCAAAATGTGGATTGAAGTACTGAGTGTGTAAAAATAATCCGATGGCAGGTGAGTAAAATGCATTAATATTATAGAAGATCAAGAATATGAAGAAGAATAATGATCTTAAGAGACTACTGATTAAAAATTCAATCAAATATTTATCCCCAGGGGTTTTGGGGTTTTGGGGTTTTGGGGGTTTGGGGTTTTGGGA